AAGGATTTCATTTTACAAAGTCATAAAGAGAGATCTTTATAATCCCAGTAATCAAGGGGTAACGATGACAAAGCAAACAGAAAGTCAGAGAGGTGCTACTCGTTATTCGCAGGAAGTGAAATTATGAGAGGACAACTCCTACAGTATTTACCTGCCCTTCTTTTGGGCAGCCTTCTCACCACTTTTTTCCACTATGCTGTCATCAAGTAAGTTTCTCTTTTTTTCTAATTAATGCAAACATGCTTTTGTGTTTTTGACTGTAGTTGGGTGTAAAAATTGGTTTTACTTTAAAACTTTGCTGTTGGGATACGAGGCACAGATGACAGTTTTTCAGATGTTTTTATATGCTTGTTTTATCCACAAAGGGAAAAATAAAAGCAAACATTAAAATAAATTCCCAGGCATTTAAAAAAAGCATTCAATTGTTTTTGTTTTGGAGAAGCACAATTTTCAGTCATCTTTGAAACACAGCAATTTCTAGCAATATACATTTGTAACAATATCTCCCAAAATATATTCAGTGCTTCCTGTAAAATAAAGTAGAGATAAACCCATTTATTTCTAGTGTAAAAGTTGCTGCCAAATATATTTTAGGGTTTTTATGGAATTTTACTAATTATACATTACATTAAATAGGTGAATATCAAAAGACCAGAAGCTGAAAGATACTTCATGGTTGTTCCCAAAAGCTGCTTGTGCTGTTTTTCATGTTTAGGGAAGAAAATGGGATGTACTGTTTGCAGAAGATGTGGGACCTGAAAGCTTTGAAACCTCACATTCAGATCGACCAAAACGACAAGTTATGATTCTATGTTCTTATGAGAAATTAATTATTGAAACCGATAAAAACAAAAAAGTTCTAACTAGCAGATTCAGAGGCAGTAAACACAAAATGCGTTAACTGAACTACGGACTACACAGACAGACTGAAAAGAAGAGACTAAAAACCAATGTGAGCATTGCACTGAATTTGAATAAAGCTTTTGAATAAAATATTTGTCTTTTTCAATATTTTTGAAATCCTCCAATGATTGGTTCTAGAAATAATGAAGGTGTATTTATTTGTCAGCCATTAAAGACTTTACATTATTGTTTTTTAGCACACCTGCATTTGAGGTAAGGTTTGCATATTTAGTCATTTTATGTGTGAAATGTAGCTTCACCAACAAACATCATGGAGCCAATCTATTCTACCAGTTGCTTTATTGATTATTAATAGCAAATGTTATTTTTCGATTTTCGAGTTTACATGCAGGTTGAATTCTGTAGAGTTGGTAAAAAATTTTCACAGGTAAGTTCAGATTATTTCGTCATGCATTCCCATCAGTCAGCGGTCAATTCAGCTTGCAAATACTCCTTGAGACTTTTAAGGCTTTGTGGATTTGTAAAGCTTTTGGATGGCAAAAGGAAAAACAAAAGACAGTGAAGCATGCCTTCCTTGTCAGCGTATTTTCATGACAGAAGATTAACATACCATAAAACAAACAATGTTGCCTATGTATACATTGGGAAACAAGCTGAGGAAATGATAGTGAAACTGCACTGATCTGTTGCACAAGTTACTGTACTTTAAATGTAAATAGTAAATAGTAGGAGAAGAATGTTATGAGGACATACTGATCGCTATCATGTAGAATACATTCAGCAGGAATGTTGTCTTTAAAGTCAAGGCATGCAAACCCATGTTGAATGAGCTTCAACTATTTTAGGTGTAGATCTTATCTGAGAAACGAAGACATACTGTTATGTAAAGGCATAAGAAATCCTCATAATGATTAAAAAAAACACTATAGATGAGCACCAATAACTTTAACTACTAAAATTAGTAGCTGTTGTATATAAATGGATGTAACGTAGTAAAAGAAAGCTATGTAATGCAAAGATTTTCTGAAGGTTTTTTTCTCTTTACCAGTGACTGGAATCTTCTCAACACACAACCTCAGCAGCACCATGTAAAGAACAAAATCACTGGTCCCTCTAAGGAAATCAAGTGAGAAAAATCGGTTTTTGTTTCCGTTTTCTGTTCCATGCTATCAGACGTCAACTTGACAATATATTGTACATTGTATCTCGTACTTTGTGTCTCAGGGAGAAAAGCAAAGGAATAGAAATTTGCTCTCAAGACTCTCAAGTCTGGAAAAATGAAAATAAAAAAATCAAGTAAGTATGTCTGTTCAAGGATCTTAAGAGTTTTTTTTTTATTATTATTTTATTACTGTAAAGCAGTTACCCATTGCTTATTGCTCTAGAGCTTTGAGTACTTTGAGAACTAAAAATGCAACACTACTTAAAAATTCAGCTTCGGACATCTGACCACATCTGACTACACTTAAGCTGTGTAAAGTAATTTACCATGTTAATTTTACAGTTCTTTAAAATGTCTCTTCTTTTTGGTATCACAGCAAGAAGAAACGTCAGCAAAACTGTTCTCAGTCTTGTCAAGACTTCAGGTAAGTTCAAGCTGCTCCATTTTTGTCTCTTTAATTTGTCATCTTCATCTTTGTTTTTGCCCCAACAAATCAAGTCATATTAGACACGATTCCAGACATTACTGAGCATCTGCATGTGTTAATGTTCACAGGGAGAAAATAAAAGAAATGCTACAGAATTACTCACAACCCTGGGTTAAAGACGAAGAAAAGCTCCTAGAAATCAGGTAAATTTATGATTAAAAGCCTCTTATCATTGGTTTGGCTTTGAAGGCAGGCAATTCAGTTTTAGAGGAACAACAAATGATTCTACTAAATCTGTGCCATCCTCAGTATATCATAAATTCCCTAGTTGACATATATCACTATGTCACACTTGTACTACAATTGCATTTACTTCTAGACTTGAATGCTAACCTGTTTTTGTTTGTTTTGGTTTAAAGCAAAAAAAAAAGAGGGAAAAAAAAGGAGCAGTTAATTAACCCTTTTAAAACAATGCAAATTTTTTATGCTAACTGAGGATGCTAATAAATAATCTTGTTTCCCAGGACTGAGCTTAGCCTCAAGTGCAATGGTTTGGAGAACGCCATCATAACCCAGAAAAATACTCCACTGGGATCGAAGATTGACTTTGATGGGAACAATTGGCGTTCTGTCAAGGTGGACTCAGAAACTTTTGCCACATTTACCAAAGTAAGTTGTGCTTGATATATATATATATATATATATATATATATATATATATATATATATATATATATATATATATATATATATATATCTAGGGATTGTTTTGTTTGTAAACACAACGGATGCGCGCGCAGCTTGACTGTAGAAAGAGCCGCTCACTGGTTTCCATGGTTACCCGCATTTAGTTTGCTGTTTTAACATTAGCTAGCATGTCAGTGGACTACGACTGTTTAACACAGCGTGATAAAATAAGTTATTCTACCAAATTGACATTAGAGAATGAGATGCGTCTTGACCATTTAATGCAGGTGAGCCGATAAATGACGAGAGAAAATGGCCCAAACGTCGGGTATTACTATCAATATTAAAGCAATTTATTCACGGTAAGATCATCAGCTAACATATGGCGAACAATAAGCAGTGGAGAAGGGTTTTCTTAAAATGTAGGGTTTTTTTATTTATTTAAAAAACAACGGTTTTATTAGCCATATTGTAGTTAGAATAATGTATTTTTGCCTGTGTTCCGAAGGCGACATGCGCAGTAGAGTTGCTGCTGACGAAAATTTAGGATTGAATTTAGGATTAACTGTAGGTCTGGCGATACAATAACAAAAACCTAAACTTCGAGTGTTTGTTATGGACAACCCAACCAATACCCCAAAAGCAAAGGTGAATGCTCTAGGATGAACTCAAAGTAAAGTGCTCATGAATTTCCCGCAGACGCATCAGATCTTGAATAAAACTTTGCATTCATGTGCTGTTGTTGGGAATGGAGGAATCCTGGCAAACAGCAAGTGTGGAAATGAGATTGACTCAGCTGAATTTGTGATCAGGTAAGAACATCGTCAGGTGTAGAACATATCTTTGAGAATAAAATACAACCAAATCAAACCAAACTGGTTATGTCACTTCATCAGGTGTAACCTGGCTCCTTTGCTAAACGGATATGAGGAACATGTTGGGAAGAAAACAGACATTGTGACTGCAAACCCAAGCATTTTAACTTTTAGGTGAGCAAACAATTTAAACTTTATCACAAAAGGTTATATTTTTCAAACTTTGCAACTCACCATTGTTTTATAATTGCAGGTATAGCTCACTTTTAGGACATCGACGCAGGTTTGTGGAGAGTCTATGCCAATATGGCAATGCTAAGCTGTTGCAGTTGCACAATCAAGGTGTGCTGAAACTACATTTACGGGAATGTGGATCAGAGGATTAAGACAACTCTCATGATGCTTTAAAGCAAACAACATTGAAGGATATTTGACAGCTTTATAAATGACTTGACTGTAAGTCTGTTCACATAACAAATCATTAACAAGTATATATTAGTAGGGTTAAAGTTCTGATCACTTCAAAGCAGAACTTAAGTTTATCAAACTATCAAAGTCTGCAAATAAACATATTATGAGAGACGTTGCCTCTTATAAAAAATTTATTGTATGCACCAGTGCATGTCCTTGAATGTGACAGCTTAACACACCAGCAAAAACAGTGATTTAAGTGTACCAGGTAAAACAGGAAAAGCAACAAGACAGAAACCTGTGGAAGGTACGTGACTGCAAATTTCAGTCATGGTAAAAATAAAGTTCTGCATCTCCAAATTATAGGGGCTTAGATATTTCATAGTTGTCCAAGCTTTTTGGGGTGTAATATTTTTTTTTAGTTTCTTCTTAAATGTATTTATTTATTTAAAGACTTGATTCTATGAAATGGTGAGTGATTTTGTACATTTGAGGTTAGCTTTAAGTAATTTTAGAAAGTGGGAAAGCTAGATCATTTATTTGTTTTACACCTAAAACTGACAAAGCGTGCATCTTTTTTTTTTCTTTCTATTTTTACAACATCCATCAGCTGAAAACACTTGAGATCCTTTAAATCAAAGCTAAAAACCCACCAGTTTAGATTACCTTTGATTAATGCTAATTGGAAAATTAATTAATACTAGTCTTAATTGAATGTTTGGTAATGATTATTCTTGATTTTGAGGATTTTTGACATGTAATGTTTGCTGTTCTCAATATAATCAGTTGCTGTTTTTTGTTTTTATAATGTAAAGCACTTTGAGTTTTGCTGAAATGTGCAATACAAATAAACTTGACTTCACTATTGTTGAAACAGCTGGTTGTTCATTCTGTGTTTTGTTCAATAAATATCTCTTGGTAAGTAAAACTATTTTTTCTGGTAAAGGATACAATCTGAGTTCATCTTTTTTTTTATGCAAAGGCCAGTTTAACAGATTGAAGGCCACTGTTACGAGGGAAATTATTGACTGGAGTTCACGTTTCAACACAGCATAGGGAAAAGTGCTACACTGCCACCGAGAGGGGAGAAAATAATATCTGCCGAGCTTATAGAGAACCTAAAGCCATCACGTTGCTGAAAACATATTCGTTATAATTAATTTCTAATAACTTCAGTAAGTGGTGTGACAAAGTGTCACATCTCATTGTTTCAGAACATTAAACCAATTTAAATATTAGACAACACAAGTGAAAAAGTAAACAAAATCCATTACAACATATTGTAAATATACTTGATTGCAGTTGTTGCTGCTCGGAGTAGGCCAAATGTATAAATACATATTTTTGACAAATACTTCCTTTTTTCAAACCTTGTTTTAATTTTCTAAATGTATTTTTTTTCTTTTTACCATGCCGTGGTGAACAAGCAACATGATGACTAGTGAAGTTGGGTTGTAAAAAGCCACATGAATGAGCAAAGTGTTAAGCACAGAGTATTGAACATTGTCACAAAAAGTTTAAAAAGCAGGAGGAAAAAAAATCAACTTCTGTGACTTAATAATTACTAATTAAGATGTTTTTTGATAAAGTGGAGGTTTTGGTATAAGTATCTTATGTTGGAGACTTACAAACTGTTTTTGAAAGGGAAACCAAACTAATGTTTGTAATGATAACCACATTAATTTATTTCTATTATTATTTCTATCATTAATTTATAGCTATTATCAGTTACCACAAATTAAGTTACAAGAAATGAAATGGAATGTCGTATTACCCAATTTAGTGAATTAATGCAAAAAGTCTCAACAAATACAGAAAAGACACCAAAATAAAATCAATTATTTTCTTGAAAAAGCTTTTAAAAAGCTGGTAGAACAGCTACAAAAAATGGTTTATTGGGAGTGGCAACAGTTTTATTGCTTGAAGCGGTAAAAGCAATGTTTAACATGTAGGAGGGAGAGACGTAAGTGGGTTCAGAGAGCAATCCTTGGAGCATGTGGTGGGCTCAAATGGCAGAAATTAACAACAGTGGATAACGACTGAAGGTTGTAAACAGAAAAACAGCAAAACCTGATAAGTGAGGTGAGCCTGAGGAGGAAAAGATGAAGGTACAGCTCTTACTATATTTGAATCTTCTCATTTTGGGGAGCCTGACGACCATTTTCCTCTGGTATACGTTCGACAACAAGTAAGTTCTGCTCGAATGATGCAAACAAGATTTAAAAGTGTTTGAGTTTGTTTGGTGATATGGAGACCAAAGTTTACTAGAGAAGAGCGGCACGATGTTGTTTTATTGAAGTAATTGTTCATTTTTTTTAGATATATGTTTTCTGTTAAACTAAAATAATAATTAAAAAAAGCATGAAATCAGTGTTAGCAAAAACATAATTTTCCTGCAGGGTCTGCAAAAGCACTTGACACTTATTATTTGACTTAAGCTTTTTTTTTTCTGTTGTCAATGAAAGAGAGTAAAACTGGATGGAAATGCTACAACCTGCAGCTCTTTCACAGTAAAAACTAAAGATAAAAAACTAACTTATAAAAACATCTTACAAAGCTTCTTCTACTCTTACTGGCACCAACAGCAAAGGTTGTTTCTTTTTTTTCCCCACGTAGACCAAAACAAAGTTAACATTTTCCTACATATTTTACATATTAAACTACATGTTTAATATGTTAATAAAACAAACACATTTTGATGTTAGCAAAGAAGGAATCAATGAATTATTGTAGATATAAAAAATTAAAAGGTGTCACACTTTTGCCTCATAGAAAAATCAAAGGGTGAACACTCCCTGGACTTTTTCCTTTTTGTATTAAAACCACAAACTTATTAGGTATTTATTCTAGAGAGACATATAGAGGATTATAAGTGAAACAGAAACCAACACAACTCAGTACAAAAGTTAGAAGTTGAAGCCAGAACGGGTAGGTGAAACCTGCTGTCATATTGTTCTCAGCATTTGAAAATAATACATTTTCAGTGATGAAACTGTACAGATTGTGATGTTGTTGTTTTTTAATGTTTTCTAAATTTTATTATTTTACATTTTTATTTACAGCTGGCGTTACTGCAGTGTAAAACTTCGACCACAAGTTCCTCAACTTAATAACACCCACTCATGTAAAGAATGCAGGTGGGAACAAAGTGTTAAAGGATTTAGTTTTATGACATCTTTGTTTGTTCATTTTACAGTCAGGGTCAAAATTATGTTTACTTTGTGTGGCAGGGAGAAAAAACACATACCAGAGCTTTGCTCTGCGTCCTGGAGAAAAGAGAATCAAACGTTACGGTAAGAAAATTTGCATTAATAGATTTATATTTTCTTTTCTTTTTAGAAAATGTTTCAAAACGTTTTCTCTGTCCTTAGTCTGGATTGATCAAATCTCCGACAAGCTTTTCAGTGTTTACAGTGGTGCAACAAGACTTTTATACAAGGAGTGCCCAGAAGAGGATTAGAGTTTTATTATGGGGTTCTTATGCTAGTAAAGTAAAGTCAGTGTTGATGACAAAACTTTACCCAGTATTGTAAATTGTAATTGTGGCAGATTAATGTAAAGAGACTGGACAAGATTTATGTTCATGCTTTTATGTAAAGGACAGGACTTCAAGTCAGGACGTCAAGACTTTTCCCAGGTTTTCAGAATCAGAATCAGCCTTGGCCACTCGCCTTGGTTTTCCATTCCTCTCAATGAAGACATTTAGAACAGAAATATTTAAGATAAAATATATTTTTATTGAAAAAAATACAAAATCTACTGACGGTAGAAGTCTAAGCGATGTATCCAGGATGTGTGGGGTCTGCAGATATGCTAGCCACACAGCTAACAGCTCAGAGTGCAGATATAAATCCTCTAAGATCACTATGCTAAAACAGCTATTATCTTTCCCCTTAATGTCCACTACTATCTCCTTATCATAACATTTTAGAAAAATATGTTATCATTTCTTTCCATTATGTTCCCAGAAATAAGTGATGTACTTCAGTAAACAACTAACAACCAACAAATGATCAGAGATTGAGTCTTGCAAATTAAAATGTCATTCATTAAGTGGTTTCCACTTTTTTCCGAGACAGAAATGAACTTCAACAAAATCCTCAAAACAAAGATGATGCTGCTTCCTCTGATTCTTGTAAAGACTGCGGGTAAGAGTGAGCAGGGTCATCTTTCTCTTTTACGGCTCTTTGGTGCTTGTGTCTGCATTATCAAGTGGATTCACAAGTCTGATCAATCTGCATGTGTTGATGTTCCACAGGGAGAAAATAAATCAATTGTTGGAGAGTTACACTCAAGTTTGGAAGAAAAATGAAGATAATCATTTTGAATTCAGGTAATGATATCCTAATGAAACCTTCTTTATGTTTATGATATATTCCATTAAAAACAAAGAATTTCTACGACAATGTTGAAATAAAGAAGTAATAGAGGTAGACACACCTTGATTCAAAGGCAAGCTTGAAGGAACAGATTGAAACAACCAGAGGTAATTTGGTATGTGAGAAACTCTCAGGATTGAAATTGAATGTAATTTTTATTCCAAAAGAATATTAAAACATGTAATTCAAGATCCAGAAGGAAAAACAACTCACAGATCAAAATACAAAATCTATGAAGTGAAAGAGAAAGGTGAAAGGCAGAGAAGAAGTCAAGACAAATTTACAAAACCAGATGTTTGTTACACATAAGTGAAGAATGAGGGAACAAATGAATATAGTAATTTAAGTAATAAAGTCAACACCACAAACTGTCACAACCTTAAA